CGGGGAGGTGGCCAGCAAAGAGAGGATAATAATGCCCAAGGCGATTGGTCGTTAGGAATATTTTGCAAGTGTCTATTGCCTTCTCCTTTTGTCCCCCTCAGCTAAAAAAGATGAACCCCTTATTGAACCCAAAGAACAGAATTTGATCTAAGATGCTCCGGCGGCTCTTTTCTGATTGATATTCCTCTTCTGGCCTATGACTGTGGAATCTGACCTTGCCCAGTTTGCTAACTGAGGGGCGTCAGGGTGGGCAGGTGGGAGAGTTGGGAGAGGGCAGGGGGAAGCCAGGGAGAGGGCGGGGAGGGGGCTTCAGTGTGAGCCCAGGAACTCCTTGAGGACGTCGCAGGTCTTCTTGTGCAGGACCTCACGCAGCTTCCTGACCCGCCGGGTGCTGGATGCTCCCACGAAGCTGTCGGGCCTCAGCATGGCCATGCCACCGTCCACCTCTCCCATGATGATGAGCGGAGTCTCGCCCACTGTCACATTGGGGCAGGGGCATGTCCAGTCCACATGGAGCAGCGTGACCTCCAGCGGCTCCCGGCCCAGGAACTTGAGGCCCATCTTCTCATCCTTCAGGACCTCGTCTACAGTTACCAGAGCCCGTCCCGAGTCGGGCTCCTCGGTCAGCTCAGAGACCCGGCCCAAGATGACAAAGTCACTCCGACAGAAGCTGGTCACAAGCTTCTGCCTGGGCTTGCAGGCCTGGCAGCGCTGGTTCCCCCAGGGGAAGGGACAGGACTCCTCACAGGCCTCTCGGCTCTCAAAGTTGTTCCCGTTGCCCTCGCAGCCCCCGTAGACGAAGGACTGGCACTGACCTGCCTGGCTGTTGTAGGCCCAGCGCGGCGCGTAGGCCTTGCAGGGCCCCTGCAGGGCAGGCAGGCTGCACACGGCCAGCGGCCCGCTCATGCAGGCCAGCATGCAGGCCTCGTAGGTCTCGAAGTGGTTGCGGTTGCGGTGGCAGTGGCCAAAGGTGAAGGTGAGGCAGTTGTTGGCCTGGGCGTCAAAGTGCCAGCGGGTCTGCTCCTCGCCGCAGTCCTCGCTGTCGGGGGGCTTCAGGCACTCGGCCGTGGGGAAAGCCGTGCCGTTGGGGCTGCTCTCCGCGGTGGCTGCGGCCTGGCCCCCCCTGACCACCGACAGCGGGAAGTCAGCGCGCAGGACACCAGCAGCATTCCGCGCTGTGCAGGTGTAGATGCCGGCGTCCTGGAGCTGGGCGTTATAGATGACCAGCTGGGCAATGTTGGTGACTACCACGTTGCCACGCACGTGGTTGGGCCTCATGACCACATTCTCCCGGTCCTCCAGCTGCTTCTCCCAGGTAATGTCTGGCCGGGGCCGGCCCACCACATCACAGAGAAAGCTCACCGTCTCACCCACGGTCACCGACTGGTGCACGGGGTGGTTGAGCAGAGCTGGGGCCGCCATGTCTAGCCCAGGGGTCTCCGGGGAGGCTGTGGTAGGCTGCACGGTGGTCTCAGGTGGCGGGGGACTGGTGTTGGGCCAGGTAAAGTGATAGCGGCAGGTGACCACGACCAGTGTGATGCCCTTAGAGCAGGCCTCGGCATCCATGTAGCAGCGGTTATAGTAGGTGAGGCCGTCCGAGGCGCAGGTGAAGCTGGGCTCCTTCTCACAGCGATCTTTGCACTTGCACACGGGCTGGCCGTCCCAGATGTCACACTCAGAGCCCTGCTGCAGACACATGAAGTGGTCGCACGTGGCCTCCTTGGGCATCCCCACCGGGCCCCTCTTCCCTTTCACGTCCATGTAGCGGGCTGCCACGCAGCTCTTGGTCCCACACACGTTGGGGCAGCACTTCTCATAGGTCTCACACTCCTGGAGAGAGCCAAACAGAGAGGCCTGAGCGAGGAGAAGGAACAGAGGGCTGGGTTCCCCCACCCTACCCCACTGTTCTGTGGAGGGGAACAAATAGGTGCTCATCTATCATGAGCAAAATGTTTTGATAATAATAGCAGAGCACCTGCTATTTCTTTGCCAGGCCCTCTTCCAAGAATGTTTACATTTGTTAACTAAGTTAATGCTCATCACAAGCCCATGAGGTGGGTTATACCATTATCCTCACTCACTTCACAGATGATGATAAATAACTGAAGTACAGAGAGGTTAGGTAACTTGCCCAAGGTCACACAGCTAGTAGTGTGGGAAGAGGCTGGCCACATCCCTCTTACTACAGTTTCACAGATGAGAATGCAGAGCCTCGGAGAGGTGATGCCCAGTGCACAGGGCTGGGACATGGTAGAAAAGGGTGTCAAGTTGCAGATGGGTGGAATTCTAAAATGAGTTTTTCTTCCATATCACATATATCAGGTAGTGACCACAGATGAGGTCTAGGTGGGAACAAATGCCATTTTGTCTTTTTTCCATTGGGGTGAGGATGCCCTGGCAGAATTGAAGAGGTCACACCAAACACTGAGAAGGAAAAGTGGGACAGGGGTCTACATACACTTTAGAAACAGCGGCTCTGATGAGGCCTACATCCGTCCAAAGCCAAGAGGAAGGGCAGGAGAGACAGGCCTAGGATGCCAGGTCCACCACCATGGGCCATGCCAGACCCTGGTGCCCAGTTCCAATGCAGGGGACATTTCATGGGGAAATCAACAAGGGAAAAAGTCCCCTTGGGTGTCAAAGGTTGGCAACCCGTCAGAGGACTTACAAGACTGTAATTCCCTCTGAGTCTCTGTGGAGCCACGTAGGCATTAGTTTAATTCCTAGAAATTAGCAGCATGCTCAGGGCAGACACAAACAAAAATTTCACATGGTGTTTTTGACAATAACACAAAGTACCCACTGGGCCGGCAGGCACCGCACCTAATCCTCCGCCCTGGTAGTAGCTCTGTGAATTACTCCCCACTAGGGCTTGCCTCTTGTGGTTCTGACTTTTCTTTCAGCCTCTTACATTCCAGATCAGCTAAGAGGGGGAAAGATCCCCCACCCGGGCTATGCGGAGTCTGCCTGCCCGGCTTGTTTACTGTTTTTCCCTCTCAGCTCAGAATGGGGACTTTGTTTCGCAGCCCTTGCTTGGCATAGGCTTCTAGGCCTCACCAGGGGAGGCTTTGGGACAGGGATGGGCAGATCTCAGAGCTGGGGTCTGAGGGAGAAAGAGCCAGTGGGGGATTGAGCAGAGAGAACCTGCTTCTCGGCCAGAATGTCATTCCATTCCCTGAGAGACCCTGGCCCCAGAAGCTCCTCAGGACTGAGAGGTCCATGGCAGGCTGGGTCCTCAGGGACCACGCGGAGGGTATTTTTGGACATGAGAAACCCGTAGGGGATCCTTAGAACAGTTTTCCTTAAGGGCCCAGAATGTACTCATAGGTTATCTGAGTCTCCAGCCCCACACAGGTGTCTCCTTCCCAAGACACACAAAATCAGCCACAATCTCACAGTCCCCAAGCCCAACCCGACTGATCAGGCCCACGAAACAGGCTTCCCTGCAAATGTAGCCACTGACGACAGCATGACCCCAGTGAGATGGGAACGCTCTGCCACCCCTCCCCACTCCTTATCTCCCTTCCTGTCCACACCACCACTGCTCACTGGCAGCTTTCAGCCGGAGAGGCCTGAGAATGGGCCCCTGGGCACTGTGAGGCAGACGCCACTCTCTCCAGGGTGGGTCCTGTGCTCTCCTGGAGGTTACATGAGTTTGGCAGAGGGAGCACCAGTGCCTCTCACATTTTCTGGTGATGTCTAGCTCCGCCCTGAGCCCCGGGAGCTGGCCAGGCCGGCAGGAAGTGCCTCTGCCCAGAGAGGTGCCAGGTACCAGCAGGCTCTTGACTGCTAGGGGAAATAGCAAGAATGACCCTTGGACTCAGGAGCTGGGAGAGAAGTGCCCTGTTTGCTGCAGGGTGCCCTGATGAGAACAGAAGGGAGGACTGCGAAATCTGACAGGTTGAAACTTGGTCCACTGCCTTCCCAGGAACACCCAGAGAGGGTGTCTATTCAAAGCTGTTTCTGTCCACCCTCTTTGCCAGCCTGGTCTGCTCTTAGTGTCAGGGTGCAAACCCCTTGGGAGATGGTCTGGAGGCCGGGTGAAGCCTCAGCTTTGTTGTCAGACAGTCAAACGTGGGTTCTGAGCCCACCCCTGGCCATGGGACCTTGTGCTGCTCACTGCACCGTCCTGAGTGTCTGTTCTCACCTGTCAATGGGCTGCTGACGCATGCACCTGGCTGGCATAGTCCTGGCTCAAAGCAGCCCTCAGCAAACAGGACACTAGGAATTCGAGGATTCTCAGTCCCTCATGAACTTGAACATCACACTCACCTCTTCTTCTGGGCCTCAGAGTTAGACATCACACCCTGTTTATCTCCATGTGGCCTGGGGCCTGAGTGACTTCATGCTCCTGGGCCCCACAGGGCACTTCTGAGCTGTCCCCACCCCACAGCTCCCATTCTCCCTCACTAACACACTCACTCGGTCCATCTCAGGCTTCCGGATTTCCACTCACCTGGTCCGTCTCACACTCCCGCTTGCAGGTGCTCTGAGCATCCACCCAGAGGTTGGGGTTCATGTCGTTGGGGCAGATGCCAGCATGGGAATAGCGGATGGGTGGTAGTGCCAGGCCTCTCGGGGGCACCCCGAGGAGCAGCAGAAGCACTGCCACCTGCCCCCAGCGGGAGCAGAACCAGTGGCATCCCAGGGCCCACATGGTGCGGTCTGCAGTGGCCAGAGGCCTCCCGTGTGACGCTGCCAGGGGCTGGGGCCCACCCGGGCCTTCTCCTTCTTAGGGGCTGCAGGCACCTGCCCTCACCCCTGCCCCCCAGTAGGCTTCCTTGCTGCTGGTAAGGTTGCAGCTGCCGAGGCTGCCTCCACCAAGTCAGTGGAGCCCACTGGGTTGTGTATAGCTACAGAGAAAAGAAAGATCTTTGCAAGGAAACCCCCTCTCCTGAAGTGTGCAGGGAGAGGAGCCCCAGCAGGGGCCGGCCTGGATTTATATCCTGGGCGCCACCCGAGTGGGAGCGAGCTAACCTGATGCCTGTCACAGGCAGGCTGCTGGCTCCTCTGTCCCGTGGCTGATCACAGACTTGTTGCAGAAGGGGAAAAAAAAAGCTGGAAGCAGTTTAGGCGGCGTATCTGGCACGGTGGGACACCTGCTTGTTTTTGACTCCAGGAGGCCTTTAACCCCTTCAAGGGCCAGAAATGGCATGTGCTTTGAGGGGAGCTGGCTCCGGGACACGCAAGCTCACTGTAAAGGAGCGGTTTGTTTCCCTTTCCCCCACCTCCTCGGCCGGGCCCCCTCCTCCCCTTGGCCACCTCTGAAGAACACACAATCGCTTGTTACAAGGAGGGACCTGCAGCCGCAGGGTTAGCATCGCCCAGCCGATAGTACATTTGAGAGCAAATGACGTGGAAAAACAACAAGTTCACGGCCATTCCAGGGCGGGCCTGAGCAGCGGCTGTGCTGTGTAAGCCGACTCCCACCCAGCACCAGGTCCCTTTGTGGGGGGTATGCGCACCGACAGCTTTCTATCTCTCTGTCCCGGGCAGTTTGCTTCTCAAGTTCCAACTTCAGTGAATTTTCCCCAAATCATTCCAGACAAACATACCAGATATGCTCCGGCTACCCAGCTGCGGGGACATATCACATTCCTCGCTCCTCCATTGACACGCTCGTGGCTCCAAGAAGACCTACGGGTGTCTCAGGGTGGCGCTGGGCAGCCGAGCTGCTCTCAATATGGCTTGATGGCTGTGTTCAGTGAGCTCTTTGGGGTGCCAGGCACTTTTCAGTTGTCTCATTTACCCCCCACTTTACAAAGAAGAAGGTACATGAACAGAGAGCAAGGCACTTGCCCAAGGTCACCCACGGTAACTAGTAATACTAATTGCTAATATTTACTGGGCTCCTCATAAGTGCCAGGTTCTCGGTATGCATCATCTCATATAATCCTCACAAACTGTACAGTTATTTTATTATTTTTTAAAATGTATTTTTATTGATTTTAGAGAGAGGAAGGGAGAGGGAGAGAGAGATAGAAACATCAATGATGAGAGAGTTGTCATTGATCGGCTGCCTCCTGCACACCTCCAGTTGGGAATCGAGTCTGCAACCCGGGCGTGTGCCCTGACTGGCAATCGAACCACAATCTCCTAGATCCTAGGTCGATGCTCAACCGCTGAGCCATGCCCGGCCAGGTTGTACTGTTATTTTAGAGTTGAGGAAAGGACGCACAGAGAGGCTAAACAACTTGCCAGTGTCACACAGCTACATGACTCCACCATTAATATGGGAAATGGGAATACCAGCTTGCCAGGTGTAGGCAGGGACCTCTGAAAACCACTCCCCGGACCCCCATCTGTCAGAACTGCTGCCCACGTACATCCCAGACTCTGATTTTTACAGGCTGGACAAGAGGTTTATGAAACACCAGGGGCTGTATTTGTGGAGGGGGCAGGAAAAGGGCCAGAAGCTGCTAGGGGTGGGAGTGATTTCCCTCCTGTTTGGCAGGAAATGGCTCCTATCTAAAATGTCACTCGATCCCCAGGGGGTAAGAGATGGGGAAACAGATTCCTGGAAGAGAGAGGCACCTTTTCAAGGTCAAACCATAAAGGGTTTGGGGAGCAGCATCTGAGCCGCAGTGTCCCAAGGATGGTGGACGGGTGGGCACAGCACATGTCAGAGCCAGAAGGGACCCAGAAGGTTCCCAGCAGTGCTCTCATTTTACAGATGGGAAAACTGAGTCCTGAATCCAGTCCCTTCCTTTCCCGGGTCCACTCTCCCCTGCAGGGCTACAGTTCACCATCCAATTTGACCATGACCTTTTTTTCCTACCCTGCAGGCCTTTTCCCCGCCTCCCGGGTGGTGTGCTGGCTTCTCCGCACCTGAGCCAATTCCTTCCCATCGTGTGGGTCATTCTGCAAGATCTGTCTTTTCTGCTTATGTCAAAGAGTTAATGAAGGGTGTCAGATCCTAATCCTCTAAATTACTGGAATAAACTTCCCTCCGAGGCCAGCCCCAGTAATGAAGCCAGACAGCGGGCGACGCCGGTTGCTTTGAATTCCCTGTAATTTCATAAACCCGTGTTCCAGCTGCTCCAAGTGCGGCCTCGGCACACTCTGACGAACGGGGTTCGTGCAGCCTCCTTTGATATCACAAAGGCAAATGGACAGTGACACATTTCTAAGCAGGACTCAGAAAAATTTTCACAGCCCCATTACGTGAGGACAAGTATCCAGGGATAGGAGGCTGATTTCTAGGGAGTCACTTGAGAGCATTAGAGGGGATGGGCGTGGGGTGGGGGGAAAGGAGGGACACAACAGAAGTGGGAGAGAGGGGGAGGGGCAGTCAGCAGAGCAGGGACAGCTGTCCTCCTAGCCCGCTGCTCCAGGTTGATGCAGAAAGCCCTCGCCCAGCTCTAGCTCCGTCCTGTCAGAGCCTGGGCCTCTCCGTCCCAGGGCCCCTCTCCTGGCCATTCTGCTCTGAGGACTCTCAAAACAGCGTCAGGGAAGAGGGGCCCTAGAACCCTCCAGCTCTCCCTTTCAGCCCTTCCAAGTCTCCCACCAAAACACAGCTCAGAATAATAAATAACATCTGATCAGGGCTCGGAGCCCACACAGCGTTTTCACCGACATCATCGCTGCTGACCCTCCCGCCAGCCCCAGGAGGGAGCCGGGAGAGGTTGCTGTGAGCTCTGGTGTATCAGAAGAAACCGAGTCACAGAGAGGTTAGGCTGGGCCTGCCCGGGATCCCCAGGCTCGCGGCCTCCTCTCACAGACCCCCGTCCTGTGCTCTTTACACAACCCCGTGCAAGCTTCTAGCCCTGCCAGAAAGGCCCCTGCCGGCCCCGCCTGTTTATAAGCTGTTCTGGAAGCACTTTGAAGTCCCTTCCTCCTGGGCCCCTGCCTCCCACAGTCCTCTGGTCCAGGCTCTGTCTGACTCTGTCTCCCTCCAGCTCTTCTATGGTGGCATGGACCTCACCCTTACCAACCTCTGGAACCAGATGAGGGCTTGGCTGCCCACTTCCACCATCCAGCAGGCTACCCCTTCCCCTAGAGCTGGTCTCTGGGGAGTGGAGCCTGGGCTGAGTGGGCCTGACCTTGGGGTGTCCTTTGCCTACCACCCTCCCCAAGGACATTGGGCACAGCTAGGTCAGAAAGAGGGCTGGGCTCTGACTTCATCTCAGAAGAGCCTCCAGCCCGCACCACTGTTGAAGGGCAGAGGGACCATAGACCCTTCACACCCTCCAGGGTGGTTTCAAGGCCTAGTCTAGGTGCAGCTGACAGGAAGTCACCCAGGACAGTGAACTCTGGGTGATCCTTGACCTCAGGTTCACCCTTAGCATAACAATGCCTGAGCCACTAGAGCCTTGACAGGACAACAGAGCTGACACCATTTCCCAAATTGGCCAGGCCTCTCCCCTCTGATGACCTCAGGCACACAGGTGGTGGGGATGCCTGGAGACCCACGGAGATGCCACACCAGCATCTCAGATGTCATGTCACTCACGCACAGACCAAACCTCTTACATCTCAAAGCATCTCCTCCCTCTTTTCCTACTTGATGTTTTTTTAAAAAAAAAATGTTTTTATTGATTTTTGTTGTTTTAGAGAGAGGAAGGGAGAGGGAGTAAGAGGGAGTAATATCGATTGGCTGTCTCCTGCACGCCCCCTACTGGGGGATGGAGCCCGGAACCCAGGCGTGTGCCCGGACCCCTGACCGGGAATCAAACTGCCAACCTCTCGGTCAGGGCATCTACTTGATGTTTCTGAAAGCACCTACTAAGTGCTAAGTTCTGGATACATAGAGATAGATGCAGTCCTTGTTCACAGAGAGGACATGGTCTTGGCCAGAAAACAAGCATGCAAGAGCATGATAGAAGAGTAAACGCTGTCTTGGGGTCTTACAAGTGCTGGGAGCAGGGAGGAAGGAGAGAGGCCTAGGGTTGCTGTTGAGCAGCCATGACCTGGGTGGGTCTTAAAACCTGAGCAGGAGTCTACAAGACAGAGCAGAGAAGGCGGTTTCCTACACTTCTTGTACAGGCCTGGCCCACAGCACAGCCTACTCAGCCAAGGCCTTCCCTCCTCGGGGCCCAGGCCTCCAAAAAGGGGAGGTGAGAGGGAAGCCAGTAGGTTTAGGATACGGGGTGGGGGTGGGAGCTGTAGGTCTTGCTCCCGCATAGGGCAGCCCCAGCAAAGTCAAACCAGCAGCCCATCCTGGTCCCCCCTGCTTTGGCCCCCAGACCCGAGGCAGCCACGAGTACTCCCAAATGGATGGGAGAGGCCAACACCCTGGGAGTCTCCCTGCCCTGATCCTGTCATTTAAACATATTTGGGGAGGAAGAAGGATTTGAGAAGCAGGGATTGGGGTTCTGGGGAGAAGTTCTTAGTGAGGGTGCTCAGCCGAGTTCTCAGAAGGCCTGGGCTGCCTCAGCTAAAGGCGGTGATTAGTCAGACCCAAGCCAGGGAATTCAATAAAGCTGGCTGCTCATTACCCAGCTGGGGACCCCCTGCCCGAGCGGCTGTGGGCCTGGGTTACATTACAGGGCTGTGTGAACTCTCCCCTCCAAGTGAGACGGCACCGGGCCTTGGAATAATTATGGGGCCTCAGCAGATGGTGGAGGCGGATGGATCGGGAGGCCTTCAACTGTGGGACACGTGACCCACCCGCATCTGTGCAGAGCAGGACATGGGAGGGTCCACGCTGAGCCCCAGGGAAGGCAGCACTGAATCACGATCTAAGAGTTGTGGGGTTGGCCGTGGTGGGGCATGACCCAGCGTCTTGGGCTAGCACGGCCTCCTTTAGACTCTGGCCTGAGCCAGGGGGGCTTGCTGGTAGGGCCCAGCCTCTGGAGGCTGCAGTACAGTGTCTGATCGGACCTATGTGTTATGAAGCAAGAACAGGAGACACAACTTCTGGCTCAACACAATTCTGGACACCTTCAAGCCCTCTAATGCCTCCCTGGAAAGGTGGGCATCAAGGTGCTCGGTGGATTTCAGCCCCAGTCCTATCTTCTGCTCCTCTCTCTCTCAAACTCTGGAAGCTGCCATTTGCTCTTTCCGATCTTCCACAGCCGATCTTCCATGTCAGCCCCCAACACACTTGGGATGCTCCGCGGTGCTTGGGTTGAGCACCATGCAAGGAGTCAGGACTCCTGGGTTTCACTGTGGTCTGCCATCAACCCACTGTGCGACCACCTCTGTGTCCCTGTCAGAGGCCCCTTTCAGTTCCCTCCTCTGCGATTCCGTGTCCTGACTCCTCCTGTTTGCCTTGATGGAATCTGCTTTCCATAGCCCCCAGCAGCTCTCAGCCAAGACAAACACGGGAGAGAAGAAGCTAGAAGGCTGCAGGGATTCCAGGCTGGTGTCAGCTCCACAGCTCTGCTCCGCTGGGCAGGGA